TTCTCCAGTCATATTCAAATAATTGACTTGTTTTATTGATGAAATGTGGTAGATTTTGGTTTTCTTTGACAAATACTGATTGGAAATAGTAGATTAGCAATGGCTTTTTATCAGTTATTATTTTATTGTCACTAGTTTCAAGAGCTTGTATTTTTGTATGTGATTGATTTTTTATTTGTGCATATGCATAGAAGCGTTTTGGATTAAGTTTTATATCTTTTGCTAAATTAATTTCATAATCACGTGTAATTTTTTTTATTATTTTTTTAATTTTTTTTATTTTTTTATTGAGTAATTTGTATTCATTATTCAAGTTTGTATTCTTGAAGGTCATGGCACGCAATCTGCACCACAAACTACGTTTTTGTCTAACTATATTCTTGATTTGTTTATTAATGCATGGGTTTATTAATGCATAGGTTTATTAATGCATGGGTTTATTAATGCATGGGTTTTGGATAGAACTAGTGACTAGTTCTATCCAAAACTCGTGCATTAACAAACCCATGCATTAATAAACTCATACACTAATAAACCCATGCATTAATAATCAATATCCATAACCCATACATTAATAAACAATATATTCCTAACCACTTTAAACCCACATAGTGGGTTTAAAGTAAAGAATATATTGTTTGCGAACTTTTTAGCGAATTTTTAAAAAGTATTCATAACATTGATTTGTAAACATTTTATCGATTTCAGCCCAATTTATTTTATTAAACATGAGATTCATTTCCTTGTATTTTTCTTTTCAAAAATAAAATCTTTTACTGTTGAACTTTTTGTCAGATGAATTAAACAGGTTAGTTTTCCATTTTAAGATGTAATGACTTTTAGAAATTTGACCAAGAGGAGAATAACTTCGTAATTTAGATGTCTACATTCTTGTCTTAACATATTCAATGTTGATTACTAAATCTAGATTGTCACATATTACTAAATCTAATATATTTGTTGGTTTATCAACAGTCGTTTGAAAAGCTAGCTCATTAATTGAATTGTTACTAAGTCACTACTGTTTGGTGGTCTGTATATACATCAAAAAAATGTTTTTGTTTTATGAAGTACTACGCCACACCATATTTGTTCAACTTCTTTATATAAAGGTGAAACTAATACCTGAGCAATTATATCATTATTAGTAAAAATCAGAGGTGTAGGTCTAGAGACCAAAGTCTTGGGCTCGAGCAATTAAAATTAGGTGAAACTAATACATGAGCAATTATATCATTATTAGTAAAAATCAGAGATGTAGGTCTAGAGACTAAAGTCTTGGGCTCGAGTCGCCTCGAGACTCATATTTCACTTGGTATTGGTCTTGAAGCCTAAAGTCTTGGTCTTAGTCTTGGTCTTGAAGTCTAGAGTATTGATCTTGGTCTTGGTCACGGATCTCTAAGGTCTTTTGCTTTCTTGATTCTTAAAATAAATAAATAAATATATATATATATATATATATATATATATATATATATATATATATATATATATATATATATATATATATATATATATATATATATATATATATATATATTTATATATAACTCAATAGGCCGGGTTAATAAAAATGAGCAATTGCTTTTACTAAGTAATTGGTCCCCATTACGTGAATAAAAAATTGTCTTTGCAATCTTGATGAAGTTTTTATTCACGTAAAGCTGACCAATTATTAAATACAAGCAATTTCCCGTTCTTAACGATAATTGAGATGTTAGATGGCTTTATAATGGTAGTACGCACTTTTTATTCATATCGCAGATAAATTTCCGAAAATTTGAATTTTCAACAAGAGATAATAGAAGTAAGCATCCAACATTAAGGTTTGCAACTAAGGAGTCTGTCATTTTAATTTGGTCAGGTTATTGCGACCAGTACGAACTTTTTTGTTTAGTGAATAATGTGTCAATATTTATTTTTTTGCAATTGAAATTATTATGTTTTTTGTGCCATATACTCTGCGTGTTTTTTCATTGGTGAACGTTACTATAATGTCTCAAATAAATAAAATAAAAAAAGTGGAAAAAATGTGTTATATAAGTACAAGTAGTATTAACTTTTCTGTTTAACTTCTTACATAAAGTACTTAAATAAAAATATATTAAGCAATGTATTAATACATTAAAATATATTATAAATACATCTACGCCAGCCTAATAAGTAAAGAAGGAGTGCAAAGCTGGTCAACAAATAGAACCTATTTACCCCCTAAACGTGAAAGCATGGGTTTTATTGGACTTCTTTAATCCTAAGTCTTGATCCCGGCCTTGTAAAAACCTTTGAAGTCTTGGTCTTGGTCTTTGTTTTGAAGCATTCAGTCTTGGTCTTAGTCTTGGTCTTGACCTTAAATATCTTGGTCTTAGTCTTGATTATTGACATTTACTGTCTTGACAACATCTCTGGTAAAAATTGCAACACCTCCACCTTGTTTATTTTTTTATTATTACTTGTTTATTATTGTAAAAGTAGTAGTAGTAGTTGTTATTGTTAATATTAATTGAGTCATTTTTGAACCATGTTTTACAAATAAGTATGATAACTGATTAATCTATCATGATTTTTGTTTCAAACTTTTCAAATGTTTTTTTATTTATCAAAAATGTAGCATTTGCATACCAATACTTATTTAGTTATATTTTTCATCAATAAGTTCATTTAAATTGCCTTTTTCCAACTTACTGAAATTTACTTGAGTCGAATCATTTTTTGGTGGTTAAAGCGAGTTTTTAATGTCTTTTCGTTGCTATCTCCTTATTTTTATTACTTTATCCTTTTGGATAACATAATAAAAATCTCTCTCTCTCTTCATTTTCATTATTTTTATCTCTACATTCTTGTCTCGATAACATGGATTTGTATCTTTCTGTTTGTGCTAAGTCCGGGTTGATGAAAACTTTTTCATATTCTTTTGAGTCACATAACTCTTTTGTTTTTTTTTAACATCGAGATTTTCTTTCAAATTTGTCTTTTAGTATAACGGGGCTTTTTTTAACATCGAGATTTTCTTTCAAATTTGTCTTTTAATAATATTTATACTTTATAATATTTTGAATGCTTACTTTAACTTGCAGTTTAGAAATAACCTTTTCAATAACTTTTTGTCACCTAACTTTGCTTTGCTTTTGTTATAATTGTCTAAAGCTTTTATTCCAAAAATTACAAAGTTATTCTCTCGTTTTTCTCTTTCCTTCGTTTCGCTTGCCACTGTATTTATTATGAGCATTTTTCAGAAAATTTTTTTACTTTATCTTGTTACACTTTTATATGTAGGTGTAGATTTACTATTTTCCAATTCTTCAACTTTTATCATTAAATTTTTGTTTTGGAAAATATTAGGTTAACTATGAATTCAAATTTTATCAAGTTTTTTTTAATCTTTATTTTAAATATAGATAAAATGGTGAACAGCTATTACAGGTTAAAGAAGAATAGTAAATGAAACTACCCCCGTCAGGTACTACGTCAGGTATAAAAAGTCAGGTATAAAAAGCAAAGAGAAATTTTCAGAAGAGATATTAAAATACTTTTGGATTAGTAAAGAAAAAAATTACTTTTTCCACATTTGATATGTAACATTAAGTTACATATCAAATGTGAAAATCAAACTAAACAATGGTAATACAGTTTGGAAAACTCTTCCATACAGTTTGGAAAACTCTTTGAGTAGTGATAATAATTCTGATTATGAATAAAAATATTGTACCATATTTTATAATCTTAAAATATTAATATAAAATAAGGATATGAAAACTCTTTGGCAGATGATGAGATGATGACTCAAAATTCAATCCTGACCAGGCAAATACTGTTATTGAAACTTTGAAGAGTCACACCTGGTACATAGATCCATTAATTGTACAAGAACGGAGTGGCATTGCCAAGAAGCTGTACTTTGCCCGAAAGCATACAACTTACAAAACTTACAAAAAGCATACAACCAAAAATAAAAAGCAGCATGTTAATTTGAATTTACTGACCTTATGTATAGTGATGATCCTCCCCCAAATTTGACCCCACTTATAACTGACCATAGTTCGTCAGTTTTTAATATGCTAAACCATGCAAATGCTGAAGTACAATAGTTTAAGACTTTAGTTGAGACTAGATCTAGATGAATATTATCTAGAATTTAATCAATTTGTGAAAAATCTTGAAATAGTAAATGATTGCAGTTAGAGCGCTATAAAACTAGTTCAGGTATATATTATTTATAAACAGTTTATGTACTTAGCTTACAATTTATCTTAAAAATCTCAATTTATTTAACAAATTTACAATTTTTAAATATTCTTAAATAGGAATTGATCAGTAAATAACAAAGTGAGGAAAAAAGACAAATCACCTTTTTTGTATTGAACAAATATAAGAACGAAAAAATTAAAAAAGATTTTAAATTGTAAAGTTTGTTAAGCAACATGAAAACTAGAATCAATGCGAAATAAATTCTTATGTCAAAAAAGGGTTTTTTTTTATGATTTTTTAAAAAAATTTAAAAAATGATAATCAAATCACATACGCACTTGTTTTCTTGAACACCACTTGCCTTCACCCTTTCCCTATGTACGCACTTACCCGCTTTTGGCTAAATCCCTCCTCTTATTTGCGTACATTTTTATGGATGATTTGATAGTTTAAATACAAAACTTTATAACCTTTATATATTTTTTAACTTTATTTTATTTATTGTTTTATTTGTTAGCTATAATAGAATTGATAACAAAGTTTATTGATCAAAAATTTATTTTTTTAAAAACAAAAATTAAAATTATTATACATTTGTTAAACAAAACATTTATTTTGATATTTTTTAAAATATCAAAATTTTAAACATTTATATTTATTATTATTCATTTATATTTGTCACTGTTTTAATATGCGTTGATCAATAATTTGAATGTATAGCTGACTTTTTACGTCGAGCTACGGAAACGTGCTATTTTGGGAAAGACGTACAATACAAGTGAGTCTTTTTAAACAAGAAAAAATAGGTTGTTATAAATGTGATATGACTATTTTTTCAAAGCATTGCAAGTTATTTATGTTGATATCTTTACATTTAGACGTTGCCTGACACGTGCACTTTTCTTTCCCAAAACAGACAGATTTGTTAATCTACTTTCTCCTTAAATACGAAATAACTAGCAAAATATATTGCACTCTTTATCATTAAAATATATAGCAACTGAAAAAATTTAAAAAATAAAAAATCTTTTTTTGTGCAGTAAATTTAAAACAAAAAACATTTTCAAGGAAGATATTTTTCAAAGCAGAGGCGATGTCAAAACTGTAACTATACCCCATTTGAAACTTCAAAAGTCAACTTTTATTCAATTCTTAAATACATACAAAGTTAAAGTCAACGTTTTTTCGGTATTGAAGCCTCTTTTAAATTCCCTCCCACAACCCACCTCCCTCTCTTAAGTTTCTTCCCAACTCTCTCAAATCAAAATTTTGAATTCGCCCCTGATATAAAGACAAACATTGTTTAAAGTACATTGTTGATTAACTAATCCTTATATGTAGAACTAAAAACACTTTTGTTGAGAAAATACTCATTATTTACATTTTTGTAGTATATGATTAAATATTTCACTCGCCTAAAATTATTAAAAAATGAATAAAATATATGAATGAATAAATAAATGTTTGAATAAAATAAATGAACAAAATAAATGAATATACATGATTTATACACTATTTACATTAAACTTAAAAAGAAATTATAAACAAATAAAGATTCAAGCTAACAAAACAGAAGCCTCTTGAACACTGCATCCTATCTTTGTAAAATCGTCTTCGTCGGATTCTTTATTTGAATGTAGAGACATTCTGGTTGACGATGTTTCATTTGATTCGGTTCTGTACCTTAGTTCTTTCTTTTTTCCTTCATACGAATAACTGTTAGATCTTTTTTGTTTGTTTTCTCTAAAACATTTATTATTAATACCGTTCCCATCTTCAAGCATAACGGACTGAGGTTTAATGGATGAACAAACCGTTGAATTTAATGGAGTTTCAAGACTGTCAAACTCCGTTTGTTGTTCAATGTCTTCATTACAATTTCGAGTGTTAAATCTATTTTGGTCAGGTGATTGAAAATGCATGAAATGACTTATGTTGGTTGCTGAACGTTTTTTCGATTTAAAGTAGGAGGGAGCTCGCTGGCGCTCCTCTTCTACATGCTTGAATAACCCACAAGAATTTAATATTCTAATAGTGTCAGCTCGAAACACTTTTGTAAATATTGCGTAGAGAAAAGGGTTTGTGCACGCATTAAGCGGAAAAATAAAAACAATAAGAAATTTCGCAACGCGTACATCAAGCATTTTACCTCCATACATTGCAATCAAGCCAACTATGCTAATAGGTAACCAGCAAAAAAAGTTGGAGAATATTATCATGGCCATTCTTTTAGCTACTTTTATATCTATATTCTGTGAGTTAGGAACACCAGGCCGTACGTCGTTGATACTATAGTAAATGCGCACATAACAGACCACAATAAACAGAAATGCTAAAACGTAAACAAGGAGTAACCAAACAAGATACCCTTCTGCAACAGCTGTTGCAGTATCCATGGGCAAGCAGATGGCCGTTTTAGAATAAGAGCTTACAGTGTTAGCAACCGGTAAACTTGCAACTAAGAATGAGTATACCCATGAGAAAATTACACCAACTTTTGCGTGACGAAGTTTCATTTGATTTTCGACGGATAATGCAAAAATTATAAGCAAGTATCTAAAATTTATAATTATAATTTATAAACTTCCTAATTATTAAAATCTAATAATTAATTTTTTTAAGTTTATCAATTATAGTTTTCAAAATTTTATTTATTTAAATTAAATAGATAATAAATTTTTTTGAATTCATAAATTATAACTCAAAAAGCTTTGTATTATCTAAAATTTGTAAATATGTATCTTATAATAAATCCAGGCAAGTATTTAGCTATAGAATTGCAAGCAAGTATTTAGGTATAGAATTGCAAGCAAGTATTAAGGTATAGAATTGCAAGCAAGTATTAAGGTATAGAAATTGCAAGCAAGTATTTAAATTAAAAGACCAGAATATCTAAAGTATAAAGTATTATAAAAGATCTAAATTTAAAGACTTAAACATCTGATGTAAATTATCATAGTAGCAAGTATCTATTGTCTAAGTATATGCCAAAAAATTAAAAAAAAGAGAGTGGAACGTTTATTATGATCATCTACCCATAAATTGTTAGCTAGTGTCTGAAAAATGTTTTTATTAACAAAAACTATAAAAAAAACTTTAAAAAAAAAACTTACCTTTCAAATGTAATCAATACAAGACTGCATACTGAAAGACTCGTTGCAAATAATGCAAGAAAGCCAAATACTTGACAACCTCCTTTAAACTGCCAGCTCTGCACGTAGTTATAGTACTTTCCAAAAGTGTAGGCATCAACACAGCATAAAACAATAAGATAAATTCCCATGAGGAGATTAGACACACCAAGGTTGTACATGAGCAGTTTATATACAGTCAATTCCTGTCTACTGTAAAATAAAATTACTAATTGAAATACATTGCCAATTATTGCACATATACCAATAATCCATGAAAACCCTCTTAGCTCGTTGCTTCCCATTACATCTTGACAAGGATTGAATGCATCAGGCTCAGGAGTGCATTCAATTTTAATGTGGGTATCAAAAGGTTTACCGCCAACAAGTTCGCCCAATCCAGAGCATAAAGAGTAGTTTTCCGTAGATTCCGTGTTAAAAGCGTCATATATATCGCCGAACATATTTAACATATCTCCAAACGACGAATTTCCACCAATTTGATTGTTAAAAGCTGTTTTATTTTTCTCTTGGGAACGTTTTGTTTTACCATTTGTTTCTTGTAAAGATTCAGTTGGACATGGTTTTGTATTATTGAGTTTTGGAATTTCTCTTTCTATTTTGAAGGCACAGCAATGCATACTATACGTAACAAATATCTTTTTTAATTTCTTAAAATTTTCAGGATCTGGAATTGTAAATAAACTTGGAACTTTCATAATATTAAGAGTCTCCAACGTACTTATGCCATATCGTGGTGGTAGTTGAGAAATGAGAGTGTTTTGCAATAATCTATTAAGAAAACAAGTTATATATTCTTAATATACATTTATACTATGGTTATACAAGTGAAATCGCGATAGCATTTCTGGGATCCTGAGGTGAAAGTGACAGCGGAATATTTCTCAATATTGTTAATATATTTAGGGATATAAATTTTATTTTAATAACACGAGGTTTTTAAATAAATGATGTTTTTTTTTAATAAAATGCGGTGCTTTTTTTTATATAATAAAAGTAAAAAATAGGTGTTCTTCGACTTCGACTAAATCAATTAAAAGTCAAAATTAGTCGAAATTCAACTTTCTTGACTTTCTTTAGAAATTAATATTACTTCTTTAACTCCCTTTAGACATCAATAACAATTGATATAATTTCCCTTCGACTAATAATTCCTTAAAAATAAATCCTTTCATTAGCATCACATTATTTCATTGTTATCATATTATATGTCACATTATTTGCCCACGAAGGAATTCTTGTGTAAACTCAATTGCCGTGCGGCTTAACTTAAAAGAGTCAAAACGGGAGAGAACTGTGACGAGTTATTTTATGCTACTTTTTTTACTTAATTTTAAATATAAATTTTGAATGTTGAATAGTAATATTCATAAAAGTAAAGTCTGGAACTATTTTGTAAAAAGCAACGACTCAACAATAATCACGTGTAAATGTGACATTGTAAATGTGATATTGTAAAGAGACATTAACAAACGAAATTTGCAACAAAGAGCTAAAATCAGTAAAAAAATACCAGCTTAATGGCAAATTATTTGTAAGAAACCATCGTATTAATATTAAAGTCTAAAATACTACAACCATAGATCATCCAGATCATATTTTGAAAATTTGGAAATTGTTAAGGTAAAAATCAAGAAAAAATCCGGAATATATTTTCCTCTTAAATTTGCTTTTAGATGAGTTGTTTCAAATTTTTTTCCAAACTTTTTATTATTTTTGTATGAGTGATGCGTGAAAAAGCTTAAAAAACAAATATATTACAAAAACATATACCAAAACTTGTATGTATGGAAAACGTTTTGAATATCCAGAAAAACTAAAAGTTAAGAAAAATATCCGGAAATCCGGAAATATCCGGAAAAAAATAATCCCTAAACAACTGGTCATTAATCAAAGCTACATTTGCAAACTCTCGCACACATTATTCAAGTAAGTTTGAAAACTTACTGAATTCACATTATTTTGTAAGTTTTCAAACATACAAACTCAAACTCACTCAACTCACTCACTCAAACTCACTTAAAGACTCACTCACTCAAACTCACTCAACTCACTCACTCAAACTCACTCAAAGACGTTATAATTAAGTCATGAAAACAAAGTCTCTAAAAAGCTAAGAACTAAATATTGTTTCGAGCTAATTGATTTATTAGAGTTAATACATGATTTTACAAAAAGTTTTTAGCGGACCACAATACACCACTTGTTCAATTATATTACAAGTCGTTTAAAGATTAACTGATAGTTTTTCTAACTTTAAAAATAAATCAAATAATCGTACAATTATGAATCTGACCATTAAACCCAAATACAACTTTAATCGATAATGCAAATATTCTCTCAAAATTGAAAATTTATACGCAGCAATTTTGTTTGATGTAAATTTAAAAATATAAAATCGAGCATCTAAATATGCAATTTAGATGCTCGATTTCGTATTTTTAAATTTATATCAAACGAAGCAGCGAAAGTTACGTGTATTAAAAAAATAATTCTTTAGTTGTTTAATTGAGCTATGAATTGTGGTTTATACCAACTTCAGCTGTCATACCAATAAATCTTCAGTTGTCACACTAACAAGTCTTTAGTTGGATGTAAATACCAGGTGAAATAGTCTTGATTTGATGCTAAAAATTTTTTTAAATTAAAAAGCAAAAATATCAAAGGCAGTGGCTGTTTTTTAAAAAGTTCTCAAAATCTCCGAAAAGAGTTTTTCAGTGATGAGCGCAACAACAACTTCGCTGTAATAAAAGTTGGAACAGAAAATCTCGGAAAAAAGTTTTAATTTCTGACTATTTGTGGAGAAAAATCAACTTCATTTCCAGTAAACAGCTTCAATTTTGGCAGCTTTAATTTTCAATGTAGAAATAGGATAAAACTTATAATAACTATAAAGTATTTGCAATTTAAAAAATCTCACCAAAGAAAATAAGATTGTAAAAAAGGTTTAAAAAACATATACTAAGCTTTAATGACTGTTATCCTAATATCGACTGAATCAGAAAAAACATTTTCTACAGTTTTATATATGGGGAAAATTCGTTAAGTGATCAATTGATTGTTCAGGGATCGCAGCAGCTTTTTTGATGTTTGAGAAGGATAACTTTTAGACATTGAGCAAACTGGGATATGTTTATTCTTATATCTAATGAGAATGCTTTGCAAAAAATAACAGTCATGAGAGTCATGGTAAATTGCAGTCATGACAGTCATGAAGGCTAAAATCAACAAAAGCCCAAAATTTTTACCCTCAACAACAAATGCAAGTGTTATAACTTACTGAGTTTTATATTTTAAAATTAAAACTATTTTTATTAAAAGAACACAAATTTCATCGAACAATAATTAAGTAGTCAAAAGTTATGACCATGTAAAGTTATAACTATTATTTCGAAGGGTTTGAACATAAGTTTGTTTAAGAGTTTTTCAAACGTTACAAATGTTGCCACTTTTTTTGTTGCTCATGTTTTTTAAAACATTTTTTAAATGAGAATTTTATATTTATACACCTTAAATCTACACATCAGTATATAAAAACACGTTTGACAATGTACTTACAATGTATTCAGTCGCTTTGCCCCTTTAAATGCATTGTCAGCAATACTTCTTAACGGGTTATTTTTAAGAACTCTAAAAATTAATTTAAACAAAATTTAAAAAATTTTTCTATTTTTTTAATATATCTTTAGGAAGATATAACTATTAACAACTACATTCAAATGATATTATGTGAAATGAAAACAGTATTAAAAAACATACAGCCAGTATAATTCTTTATTTTCAGCAAAAGTGTTTGGCTCAATTGATTCTATTTCGTTAAACCCAAGATCCCTACAAAATATTTTGTTACAATATGCAGTTATATACAATAGATTTTGTTTTACTGACCCAACATTATTAATACTTTAGCATTTACTGGTCCAGCATTGCACAGTGTAAAGTCGGATTTTTTATTGTAACAAGTTTTGAGTTTGAAACCTAAATTATAATTAAGATTAAATAATTGTTAAATTTAAACTTACAAATGTTCCAAGCTTTTGTAATGGATCATTGATTCAGCACTCACAGTTTTTATTTTGTTTTTGTCCATATGGCTAAAAAAAAGTATAAAAGTTTTCATTGATTCAGCACTCAAAGTTTTTATTTTGTTTTTGTCCATATTGCTAAAAAAAAGTATAAAAATTTTCATTTTTTAATCATAATATATTAGCCAGAACCACTTAACTCCAATGGCTTGAAGTTTCAACAACATACGCGGTAAGTAGCAGGGACGGGTGCAGCATTTTTTGATATTTGGCACTTCCATAAATGGAGCGAATTCCAAACATTTATATGTTTATACTAGAGATGTCACAAATAGTGAATACCAAATACCGAGTTCCTAATATTTGGCTAGGCATTTTGCCATAGCACCAGATACTTGGTGCTTTAGCCGAGCTGTGTGCGCATTGTGACTAACCGTGTCCAGCACGCGTTATTTGTAGACTATCACATAAAATTAATTTAACTATAGTTATGAATAAAAGTGTCATCTCTTCAAATCATTCAAAAAGATTACAAAAATAACCAGCTCATGTATATTTGCACTTCTGATTTTTAACTAATGGTTTAAATTTAATGTGAATATTTATATAATTTCGTGCATCAATAAAAAAGGCTACCGCGTAATTTATTAATTACACGGTAGCCTTATTTATTGATGCACGTTTCAACAATTAATTTTATGAGATTAATTAAAAAACAACGAATAAAATATCAATAAAATATAAAAAGTCAGAGAAGAGTTAATCATTCTCGCCGATGAACCATCACCAGTACCTAGTAGCACCGGTGATGATTCATCTCCGCTTCTTAAAAAAAGGTAAATGAAAATAATCAAACTAACCCCTACAAAAAACATGCTTACATATGAAGATTTGGAAAAGAAAAATCCTATTGCAAAAAACAGTTTCATGTAAAAACTAGTTTTTACATGAAACTGTTTTTTTAAATTAGACAACCCTTACAAGTTATAGTCAGCAAGCGCAAAAGATTATTCTAACAGATCATGCTAAAATTTTCTTATTGTTTGCCGGTGACAGTCTACATAGTGAATGTCAATTTTCAGAAGTATATATAATTTATGAGGAACTCGCAACCCTTTTCTATCAAAAAAACGATGAAAATATTTTTATCATAACCTACCACCTTTTAAGTATCAAATATGCCAATTATTTTTTAAAATAATATATTAAATAATATATGTATTATACATAATAATATATATATAATACTTAAAAAAATATATGTAATATGTTATATGTAACCCGTATTTATGCTTTTTTTGTTATAATCTGGTATTCGTTATTCGGCCGAATAGTTTGCAATATTCAGTCGAATACCGAATAGTAAAAAAAGTAGCCGAAAACCAAATATCCACCGAATATTCGTAGCATCTCTAGTTTATATTTATGTCAAATAAGGATGCTTTGCGTAAAATGCTATGATTGGAGCCTGGGAACAAAAAAGCCCTAAAATTTTGCCGACACCTACCCCAACCGTGAGTGTAACAAGTTGATGAAATTTTATTTTTAATATTCTTAACTAAATTTATAAAAACTTAAAGGTATAACGCTAACTAGAGTGAATGACATTTCTATCTATCGTTACATCATTCAATCTAGTTAATGACCTTTCTAATCTATTTTAAATTACAAATATAAACTGACAGCATTGTTTTTTCTAAATATTTTTTATATTTAAAAAATATTTAATGGTTAGAAAAGCAATGGAACTAATAGAACAGTCGACAACGAAAAAAACGTGTTGCTAACCAAAAATATTTTAAACGTAAAAAAATTTTAAAAATATAAAAAAGAATTTACTTTTAAACGAAAACGATTTATATATATTAAAATAGGCCTTCCAGCAAAACTTTAATGAAGGTCTTTAATTTTTTTGTCTGACCACCTCCCCCAATCTGACAAAAAAAATTATACATGAAAACAAAATCGTTGTTCTTAAACAAAATTTAATTGACATAAAAACCATTATGTTACAGTATGTAAGTCTAGCATGTTGAAAATCTAGTTAAAGTTTTTTTTTTTTGCCTTCATAGCTGTAAGTTGGTCTATAACATCTTTTAAATTTAATTGAGTTACTTTTTCTGCTTCAACAGCTAATAGGCTTTGTGTAGAAAAACAGTTTTGCGTAATTGTTGTCCTTAAATGTGTTTTGATTCTTTTAAATGTGCTGAAAGATATTTTTGCAGTTGCCACGCTAACGGGTAACGTCGAATATAGCATAAGTGCTTCAATTATATCAGTGAATGATCAAATTATATCGAAATATGTCATTGAGGAAACAGATAAAATGTGGAAATCCGGAAATTTTAAATTTGCGGGAAATAAAGTGCGTGAAATCGCCGCCCCAACTTAAACCCTCAGTCAACGTGGTATTACACTTTTGGATCCTGTAATAAAAAACCACATTAACGAGTTTGTTTGTATACACGAATATATACCACTGATATTTTTTAAACACTACATGTCTGCAAGTTTTTTTTCAAAATACTTATTTGTAAGACATCAGTGAAAAACAAAAAAAATCTCGAAACGTGTTTAGTTTGTTTGACAAGTCGTTTCGTCAAATTTCAAAAATTTAAATTTGTAAAAAATATTTGTAAAAAATATTTCTATTGTTTTAAATATTTTGCTGAAAATATTTTAAAACTCTCTGTAATAAGCATTGAGTATTGTGCATGATAGGTGAAAATCAACTAGCAAATAAAAACCTTGTAGTAGATCATATTAAAATTTACGTACTTTGCGCATACAGCAAAAGTACTTTAACGTCTTGAAAAAAAAAATAAGAAAAAAGAAAATACTTATTTACATTTTACGTAGTTTAGGAGCTTTTATCTTCGGAACTTCGGTCAGCAAATTGTTTGATAAATCTCTAAATAAAATAAGTAAAATTTAAAACGCTCCAAATTAAAAAAGAATCTTATTGTATTCTATTTTATACTTTATCAATTCTTCTCATTTGTGTTTTGGTTTATAATGGCAATTAAAATTATTAAGATAAAAAAAAAATCTCGGCTTATCATATTGCGAATGGTTGTTTATTTTAAACATTAAACGTTTTTTAAAAATGAAAATTTTTTTTTTCAAAAATATCTTTTTTAAGCTATTTAAAAAGATTTTTTTTTTAATTTTAATAAATTTTCAACGTTTTTAAAGATTTTTTGTTCTTCTAATGTTTATTTATAGCTTTATTATTAACTTTCTGTTTAATCAAATAATTGATGTCTAATTAACTTCAGTTCTAAGTGGCGTCTTAATGCCTCGGCTTTGTTAGTGCAGAAATATTTTTTGGTAATTTAAAACAACATTGAAGCATGCTTTTAAAAATCGGGTCAACAAAAAGTTTAGTTTGAAAGTTAACTCTTATTTCCGAACTGAATAAAATAAAAACCACAACTTAAAGGAATTTATTGATTTAAGAGAATTATCGAGAAAGGCAACAAAAAGTTACCTTGCTAAATTTTGAAAATAGTTTTATTTTAATTATCAAAAACATTTTACCTGGTATTTTTTATTTATTTACTTTTTATAATAAAATTATAATATTCCGTCAATAAGTTGTAATAATGGTACAAATAACACAACGACGAGAAATTGTAAGTTACTTACATTTCTAACAACCATGGCATGTTAGAAAAAGCATCTTCATCAATGCGAGTAATAAAGTTTCCATTAAGATTTCTAAAAATATTTTTGAAAAGTTAGTTTTTTTTCTTTCAGTAAATAAAGTTACCAATTTTTGGTTTCAAAACATTTTAAGGTACTCTTACATATATCGGATCTCTCGGCATGCACTTTCTGGAAAATCGTGCTTCCCAATATAACGAATTTTATTGTACGGTAGTTGTCTGAAATATTTAACTTCTTTTTTAAATTGGTTTTTAGAAATTCAAAGTATTTTAAACTTACATAATTAAGCATAAGATTATATAAAGAATAATAACTTAGCATTATTAAATTTAACAAAATACTTACAAAGCGGTGACGTCAGGGTGACTTTTCAATATCGCGGTGGGTATTGACAAAAAGTTCATCATTGTCATTTCCCTAAAAAAAAGTATACTATTTTTAAGAAGAACTCTTTCTTAAACAGTTGAAGAGCGTTTTTCTAAAAGGAGCAAAGTGGCATTTTTATTGTTTTGATATGTAAATAAACAAAGATGATGAACAATCTTTTTATTCATGCTAACATTGTTAGATTTGTACCTTTTTCAATAAAGAATTTGAATGCTGAAAAAATTAAATTTAGGAAAAAATGAATTTAGCTCACTTTTAAAAAAACGCTCTTGAATTTGAAGTCATTAATAAGTTTGACGTCATCGTTGTCATTGTTGACATTTTTGTCATCGTCATTGAAGCCATTAATTATCGCAGTTATTGTTGCTGTTAATTTGAATTTTGAGACTTGTAATTTTTAAAACAGATACGTTACTTTTTTTAAAAAAAAACTTGCTTTGAAAATAAAATTACTGCTGACTTACAAAGTTTTGCTTCTGATTGGACTTTGAACCGTAAAGTTTTGCTGCTCACCAGTTTCATAATCTTGCATGTAATATTGACATTCACAATAAACAATAAAACATAATAACTTTAGGAACTTCAGTTTCTTCATTTTTCTAAATATTAAATATATACTTTCTTTTATTGATCTCAAGAAATGTTATTCAGTTTTTAAGAAATCATGCGCAAAATTTTCATTATCGCTCTGCCGCGCCTAAAGTTTTGCTTTTAAACGAGTTTTGTAAGTAAAATGCGTTTCTGACATTTTGGATAATAAAATGTTTTTAAATAACAAAAACAATAATTTATCGTAGGTTTTCAGTTGTTAGTCTTTTTAGTTTTAACTTTTTTTGCCATTAGCAAAACACAAAAACATCAAAGGAGTTGTACGATGATTTATGTATGTTGAAGAGTAACAAAATCATGAATGAATGGCGTGGTATAATGAATGTCAAAAAAGAAATTGTACAAGAGGATGCATCTTTATTTATAAATATTTTGACAACATTATATATTTGAAAGCATTTGTTGACATTTTTTATACAAAAAAAAAATTTCCGAGATGAGAAAATATTACCTGTAGCGGATCTAAAACGCTTAAAAAGCCTCTCTAGCAAAACGCATCACTTTTTACCAAAAAATGTTTAAGTCTAAGCAGTGACAACAATAAAAAAACATTCTTTGCAAATTAAACATAAAAATTTGGAAACTTCATTTTCTTATGAAAAAGTTTTTAAATAAACAATTTAGCATTCTGCTGAAAACTGGAGCGGCACAAACACTTTAAATGAGGCTGAAAAAGTTTTTTATATTACTAAGGAGTTTTTCTTTTTGAAAAACTCCTTAGTAATATTTACAATATTACTAAGGAGTTTTTCAAAAAGAAAGACCTGATATTTTTTAAAGATATTTTCTTTAAAATCGTCAAACATTTAAAGTTTTAAATATCTGCTTTCTTATTAATTAAAGAAAGCCCATATTCGAAGTTTAAATTTCATTCTTTTTTAATACTTTTATATTTCTTTTATCTTTTAGTTGTTTCTTTTTGTATAAAAAAATAACAACAACAACAAAAAATTATCTAACTAGATTATAAAGTAAAAAGTCATTTGAAAATAATGAAATAAATTGATAAATGATTTGATAATGCGTGCTGACGCTAAAAAATGAATATGGCTATAGATTTTAAAGTATTTTTCGGCGACAAAAATTTTACTAGAGCTGTATTGACTGAAAGAAAGAATAAAATAGTGTGTGTGGTAGAAAACTTAGTTGTGCTTTTGGAAAAAACTTGTTTTCTGGTGTCGTCTCGCTGAAACATCGCATTTAATATATCAACATCGCATGTAATATATCAACATCGCATGTAATATATCAACATCGCATGTAATATATCAACATCGCATGTAATATATCAACATCGCATGTAATATAGCAACATCGCATGTAATATATCAAAATCGCATGTAATATATCAACATCGCATGTAATATAGCAACATCGCATGTAATATATCAACATCGCATGTAATATATCAACATCGCGTGTAATATATCAACATAGCATGCAATATATCAACATCGTATCAACTTCTACAAAGTAGTAATAAGTGTAAATTTTAACTGTCTTTCAAATACTTTTTATGAAGTATGTTTTTATATTTAAAATAAATTAAACTCAAACTATTTGTTTTGCATTATATGTATTTGTTTTTAATTACGCTATAGAAATTGTTTATTTGTTTAAAAAAAATAAAATGGTTGAAGCCGAATAGCTCGGTTCTAATTTGGCTATACTGGCTACCTAAATTTTAATTAAGCTAAAAATCTAACATTACAGCTCAAAGGGCATTTGTTTTTAAAAATTACGTTTTAAATGTCTTTTAAACGTCTTTTAAACGCCTTCTTAACACTCAAAGATAAAGAACGTTTAAAAGACGTTTAAAACGCATTTAAAAGACATTTAGAACGTTATTTTTGAAAAAAATGCCCGTTGAGAGAGCTTACTTAACGGGCACGCATCGTCCAGCAGTCGTCTGTAAGACGTCCGACGGACGTTCCCCGGACGACAAATGTCCACTGGGTGAGCCAAGCAATAAGTTTAAAAAAGAATGAACATTGTAATAATATAACAATTGTAAAACATTTTGAAGAACTTTTTAAAACTTTAAAAAATTGAACTTTTCAATTTTTAGTTTTTTGTAACGTATGGAATTTAAAAACATTGAAATAAAGATATTTTTTAGATAACTTAAAAATAAATAGTGTTAAACATAACAGTATCATAATTTGACAATTTAAGTAACACTATTTACTGCTTTCCTGCAATCATCAGACTGTTTTATTTCTATATAAATTGGATGATTTTAGAAAAGTTGTTATAAAAATTAGTTTAAATGGTTTTTTAACAAATTTATTACATATTTTAATATTATTTATGAACTATACCAAAAGATGCTTCTTTTGTTGTTGTATTTAAAGACCTAGGGTTTAGGAGCCTAAGTAGATTTTGGAAATCAGATAAGATTTAGGTACCTTAGCAAAACTTAGAGATATGATTTAGGTGCCTTGATAAAATTTAGAGATATTAAAGAAGCTAGTTCAAAAAAACTAAAGGTTCAAACATTCAAATTTTTTAGTTTTTTGAATTTTAAAAATCAGTCTTAAATTATTGTGACGTCGTCTAAATTAATTTGACATCTTTTTTTGAATATTCTTAATTTAATGTTAACTTTTTTAATATAACATTTTCTAAAGTTTCTATTTATTTATATTTTTTTCTATCGGTCCTAAAGTTAAGACACTTTAAATAGAATAGAATACCAAAAAAATTAAAATACTAAAAACCAAAAAAAAAAAACACAAAAAAAACGCATACCATATACTGACAAAACCTAGATTGATTTTATATCTTTACTTAATAAAAAAGGAAAAAAAAATCAAAAAGAAACGATCAATTTAAGTAACAAACAAGATTCTGCGTGTGAGGATCTACTTATTCATATAATGCGTCAGAATCAATTTTGTTAGCGTGATACCTATTGATCACGCTATCAAACCTATTGAATGGAAAAATTTATATACGGCGTTTATTAAGCATGATGAATTAAAATTCTTCAATGGACATCAATGTTTCACTTTATCATTAAAAACATGATCAAAATAATTTAAAATATATATATATGTGAAATAAAAAACTGTTATATTAATCCATTGAAAGTCTGGAATGGGATAGAGTGGTAATTAATAGAATAAATTTAGTATGCGTTATGCGCCGAGCATGCGCAGTCATAAAAAAAACCAAAATTTAAGATAGCAGCATTTAATAAAAATGTTAACGAGAATGTTTTAATAAAAATTCTTAAGATTAAAAAAAAAAAAAGCAAATTAATATTATACAAATATCTTAAATAAAAAATTATTAAGAAAAATAAAATATTATTATTTACTTTTTTTAAACTTTTTCAATATAAGATCAACTTGCCGTCACAAAACTGTTTTCTTAGTTCCGCTTGTCTAGCATTCAAAATTTCTTTGTTCGTTGTTTATAACTGCACATAATCTTTATGTTGTCGTCGTTTATAGCTGTAAAAAAGTGCAAAACAGCCTTAATTATTGATTCACAAACTATACCAATTGATAATTTATTAAGATGAAAAAAAATAAATTTGTATGGAAAATATTAACGAACTATGTTTTATTGAAATGTTGTGTGGCGCCATCGTACTGCAGTGTGAGTCAAGTACGATGACCTATCCCCGTCAATCTTTGCTTTAAATAATAATAAATGACCAATCTTACACTTATTGTAAGAAGCATATATGAATCCGAGATTCCGAGAAACTCTCAATTTATTTTAATATGATTGTATGTTATTTTTTTAGTTTGTTAAGACAGCAAATATTAAAAAAAGGCATAAAACTTCAGGGAAATTTTAATTTTGTTCTTTACGTTATTAATTTTATTATTATGTTAACTTTTTTCAATGTGCTTTTTTTTCCAACAAAAATATTTAGTAACACATGAGGTTCCCTCCACGGAATTTAAATGAGAATATTCAGTACCGTATTCATGCGGTTACTAATGTTATTTATTTACCGTTAGATCTGCAAAGAATTTTTCCATACATTATAAATAACTATCTGCTTTCAGTTTAACTTTAAATTAACTATATTTAATACTAACATACAGAAGTTAAAGTTTTTTTTTTTATTTACATTTGCCCTACTTTCTGTTACCACAAAACATGAACTTTGATATGAAAGGCACTTTGTGGAGAAAAAAGATACATGCAACCTACATTTAAAATATTTAAAAGTTTCTTTCCGATAAACATTCTAGAAGCATAAATGCACCAAAAAATTACGAACATTTTTTTGAAAGATTTTTTTTGAAAAATTTTGAAATCATTTTTACTGCATTATTTCCAATAATAACCGTAGCCACAGAATAAAAAAAATTATCAAATTGCTCCAGTTTATAACTTATATAAAAATGAATAATTTATATTAAAATTTTTATAAGATTATTACTTTGTATAACTTTGTATACTAAGTAATAATTTTTTTTTATATCCTTTTCATGCATATGTATTTTTGAGTTCCAAGACTGACAAATGTAAACCATATAAAAAAGAAAAACTCTTCTCTTGACCTCTCTCATCATCAAAACTAGAGTCCGTTTTAACAACCTTATCTGGGGTTTTAGTTGAAGATTACAAGATTTTTGACATATTGAGATATCAGTTTACGTCAAGGTCTTTTTTTTCACCACAACAAAACAGTAAAGAAGATAAGTAACAAAATGAAGGTTTAAGATGTTAAAATAATCGAAATTATGAGCTTGAATATTATAATATATATATATATATATATATATATATATATATATATATATATATATATATATATATATATATATATATATATATATATATATATATATATATATATATATATATATATATATATATATATATATATATATATATTCAGAGAAAAATTAGAAAAAAAAAAAAAATAGAAATCAAACTCATTATTAGCTAACCTAAAGTAAAAAAAAAAAGAAAGAGTTTCGAATTTTTATTTTGAGTTTAAAATATTGTTAAAATGTCTTTTACTAATGGCTGTATTTTATTATGCGTTGTTTGTACGTATTTCATTATACGTACTTTTTAAAGCCTTTTTTGATAACCTTTTCGAACTTTTATAATTGTTATTTTTATTTATTAATTTATTTTATAACAGTTTTTAATATTTTTTTAAATAACAATTATGTTTTGTTATTTTTAGGATAACAGCTTCGTTTTATTTTCATTTTTTTCGATTATTGTTCATTTGAGTTGATTTTTTTTTAATCTGTTCGCTTTACTTATTAATTTTTTTTATTTCGCATTTGTATTTAGCATATATTATTTATACAATTTTTCCTATTTCTCCGAGTATTTTTTTAGTTTGCTAGTCTTGTTATTTTTGTTTTTCGAATTGTCTTTTAATTCTTTCCTTGTTTATCTTTAACTTGTTGTTGCTTTTTTGCTTGTTTTAGTGTGTCATTACATTGACTAGTTTTTAACTATTTTGTAAGGTTAAAATTTTCTTGTTCTATATAAAAGTAAAAAAAGTTAAAATTTTCTTGTTCTATCAAAATCATTTTGAGTTTTAAGGTTTAAAAAAAAATAAAAAGTAGACGGCATATTAAACAATTTTTATTACTTATGATTTCTCCAAACTTATTCACTTATAACTAAAGTTTCAATCCAGTAGAAAAACATTATTTTGAGGTACATAACTCAATTAATGCTTCGAATTTATATTTAATTCATTTTGTTCTTGATTATTTTTCGAATCAATAGTTCCGATTTTGACATGCAAAAAGAAAAGCAAAAAGAAAAAAAGAGCATTTACACGTAGTATTTTTTTATTTTATTTTCTGTCATTCACTTTTTTTTCTCTCTTTTTTTTTAGGTATAAGATTAGGCCTTAATAGCTAAATCTTAATATCTTAAAAAGGTGTGAAGGTGCTCGATAAAAACCGTTAGGTCTTCTTGACACACCTAAATACCATAACCTAATAAATAAGTATTTGTTACAGGGCATCGCGGAAAAGCGTTCAACTAAGAAGTTCATGTCAATGTCGCATATTTTTTGTTTGTTAGGGATAAAAGAATTGTAAACGTTGTAACTTTGACGTAGAAAACAATAAATTCTTTTAGTTCTGGAGTGTTTTAGAACAAAGAATGATATTTAAAAACGTGATGGATGAAAGCATTCCAAGAAAAATTTAAATTAGACTTTAGATTAATTGTATAAACTATTAGTTTTATACACCTTTTTCATAAACTTGTTGTTTGGGTGATAAAGTTAGTTGATATAATGATGCAGTTGCATCAGGAAAAACAACCGACGCAATGATTTTACATACGTTAACTCAATGTATGCTTATTATTTATTATAAGTATTTATTGACAGTTTGATGCTGTACTCAACAATAATTTTTTAGGAATATTTTAATATTTAGCAACAGTTTACATATATCCTACCCGATTAAAAAAAAAATCTAACATTTTAAATCCGTTTTAAGATTCTCTCTTTTGTCTCTGGTAACTTTTCTTCTTTTTTATCCACGTTGATGACTTTACAAAATATGCTGGTCCTAGCCTATTTTTCGCCATTGTGACGCTGCATGCTGATAAGAAGTTTATATTTAGGATTCAAACGATAGTTTAAAAGCTATAATTTAGATCTGTTTTTTTTTTTCATTTTAGGGTCATTTAAGGGCTAGACAAGGAAAGTTGCTGAAATCTATCAATTCTGAAATATTAATTTGAGTTCGCTTTACTTTCTTTTTATTCTATAAAGTGTACTGTGTAATTGGTATGTACTTGAACTAAACAAATTTTAAGTTTTTGTTTTGAACAAATAAAAAATTAATTGTTCAGCAAAATTTTTGACATTTTTAATGAATTTTGAAGTGATGGGGAAAAGAAAAGACCTGAGCCCTAAAAAAAGGACAAATATGTGTTTTGTTGGAGAATTGTGGCTTAAAATAAAATTAAGATTTTAACACAAACAGTTAGTGCAATGGTAGGGATGTTGAGGATAGGAACATTGAAGCTGGAAGAGTTGAAAAAGTTGTAAAAGAAGCACTACCCCAGACATGAGAGAAAGATCAAAGTTATTGCCCTCAGTGATAGAAGAAGTTCTTGCAAGAGATATCTATGGAATTAGCAAGTCAGGGTAATAATGTAAGCCGTAAAACAGTGAATAATTGCTTGGTAAAGCAGGAACTTAAGGCACGCAAACCAAGGAAAAAGCAAGGACTCACGGAAAAAATGAAGCATGCCAAGCATGGATGGGCTGTTGAGCATGAAAGTTGATAGCAAGAAAACTGGTCCAAGATAATGATTAATTTAGCTTTCTATTATACCTCTAGTTGTATTTCTTGATTTCTTTCAGTTTCATCATATTTTCTGACATTATTAGCTTGTTGATCATGACTATTGGTGTAATGTTTTTACTACAATTTCTATGAAACTTATCATGACTATTGGTGTAATGTTTTTATTACAATTTCTATGAAACTTATCAGACATTTTTTATTTCAAGTTATATTCTAAGATGAGTTTACAATTGTAATACAAAGGTGGTCAAACCAAGTGTTTTTAACTTTGATATAGATGGAATATGTATTCTGCGACTTTATTTTTATGTTATGGTTGTTTTTGAAGTAAAAAACTTTATTGTCAATCAAAAACTGAAAAATCCATAATAATTTTTCCAGTACTGTAGTGATTACCTGGGTTTCCTTTGTTTTCTCATCACTAAGAGTTTCTATAAAAGTAGCGGTGTGTAACTCCAACAAGAACAGCTTTTAAAGTTCAGAAGCCAACAAGATGTTTCCAAAAACATCCAACATGTTTGTATATGCGTCTTTTTAAACTTTAGCTCTACATTCGGGAAACTTGTCATTTACTTTCAACAAGTATTGATTAGCAACCTATTTTATCATGGGCTTGGTTGGAACACGTGATATTGATTGCAACTCGTCTTCCTGATCAAAGAAATTTATAATGACATAAAACCTTGTTTCTTTACAGAAACTTGCAAAGTTGGAAAGTTCTTCAAGCTTTTTCAAAAGATCAATCAATAAGCAAAGTAGTTCAAACTCTTTTTTATCTGGTATTTTGTTGACTTGCTTTTGTGAAACATCTTTTTTTGCTAAAATTTTGATCCCAGACAGTAACTTATTATTCCATATGGTTGAGCAACATTGAACTAGTTTCGTAATTATGATTTCTGGAATTTTTGGTGCTTCGGCATTATATAAATTCTTTGACTTATGAAAATGATTCAGGAAGCCAACCAGTCATATTATCCCACAAATCTCTCGACAACTCATATTCCAAGACAGCACTTTGCACTACCAAATTTATTTTATGATCAATACATTAAAACATATCTTTTATAACACAATTCTTTACGATTTTCTTTACATTTGCTCCACCATTATTGTGCGCACATTTGTTCCCAAGTTTAGGTCTTTAGTGAAGCCATCTAATTTTCTTTGCAATTTCTTTAAGTAAATGT